AATATCCTTACTCAACCTTGGGTTCCCTATCACCAGCTTCCTTGTCCCCTTCTGCCTTCTGGCCCTTGTCACTGGACTACTGTACCTCATTAGTCCCATTTGGTTTTACGGGGCTGTCCACTCCCAGGCTGAACGGTGAACCTTGGAGATAACATTTTTAAAAAAAAAAATGTTTATTTGCCATAGTTGAACCCATCTTAAACAATTTTAGAGAACATTATGGTGCTTTAATAAACTTGAATTCCTTGAAAGATTTAGCCTCCTCCAAATAAGCAATTGTTGGTTTCTAATAATTAAATACCTTCCAAAAATTCAGAAAAAAAAGATGAGTTGGGAAATGGAGAGGACATACAAAATACACAAGTGAATAGACAACTTCCCAGATGGGAAACATTTCTTCATCAAATAAAGGGCCGCTAGGCTGCATTTTAAAAGAAATATTCAACATGGAGAATTTTAAAGGGCAACTTTTAGCATCAATCCTTTTAAATCCTTATAAAATGGGAATAGACAATTTCCATAAAAAAGGATAAAAGGATGGGACAATGCAGGTGCATGGTTCTTAGTCCCTCCCAGGTTCTGCAATTAGCTGGTGTCTCAGGGTAGGGAAGGAGGGTGCTCTGCGCTGAGTTCCCTGCACTGTGGCCCAATCACGCTTTCTCCTGCACTATTTTAAGGGTTAAGCTGATTTCCCAGGTCACTTGACATTTACTTTTCACTCAGAACTTCTCTCAATGGGACTCTGCCCTTGGTTAAGAAGTAACCTGAATGAAAGGACACTCACCTGAGCAGTGATGAGCTTCCTCTGCCTCTGAGGGTCTGGGAACTCCTCACCAAAGCACAGAGTCACCTGGAACCTTGGGAGGGAGCGGCCATGATGAGCAAATGCTTGCAGCTCTGAGGAAACCCACAAGAAAAAGTCACACTTAGAAACCCCTCATCATTGAACACATCAGTTAATATCAGAAAACAAGATCTTAATGTGGATTCTGAAGACTAAAAGAGTAATATCGTATGCCCTTTTTATTTCCCTTAAAGTGAAGTGTAAAATTGCACATACAGGTTCATATGTTTCATTTGACTCTTAAAGGGCAACGTGACCAAAGATTAAAAACACTGCTTTGCAGCATTAGACCCATGAGGATGACAAAGATAGAAGAATGGAGTGAAGGAGGGAGAAAAAGAAAAATCAATGTAGCCATGTTGAAGCAAAAACATAGTTTATACAAAGAAAAAAATTTCATTTAAAAAAATCAGAATTTTCTGACATGCATGTCCCAGGATTATTTTAAAACCTCATCCAGAACCACCGAGCCCACACAATCCAGATTCCAGGGTGTCTGTGCTACAGCAGACACCTACGAGACTCAGGGCACCACACAGAATGCTGTATGTTAACCTGGTAAGTGAGCACAGGTACTGCCAGCTGTGTCCCACAGGGCACCAGGCCCTAACTGTTTAATTCTGAATGGATTTTTCACCCATCCTCTGGGACAGAAGGATGGTTTGAGATAAGGACAGTGAGGCAGCACTGCTGGCCACTACTTTTGTGGATATGTCCAACCCACAGCCAGCGCCCTCATCCTAGGGACATACAACAGAGACCAGAACACTGTTATGGAGACAAGTGCTCAGCTGTGATGCTGACCCACTGTCCTCTCACCCACATTCAAGATGACTCTTATGCCTCTGCTGTTCCTGCTGTTTATGTCATGTCCCCAAAAGAAACAGTTTACACAGTAGCTGCTAAAGCTTCTGTAAAACAGCAGTGCAATGCATCTTTATCCGATACACACTCTCAGGCCAAGCCTTCTGGGGCTAGCACTAGTAGTCTGCAAATCCTGAATGGGAAGATATCAAAGATTTCCACTGTCTTCTCCAACTGAAGAAAAGTTTCTAGCTAACTCACTTGAGTGTTTGACTTCCTGCTTATTTCTTCCAGAGTTCAAATCAAACAATGTACTTGGTCAGAATACATAAAATGCACACACACTACCATGGTCTGAGGCCATGCCCACACAAGCTGGCCAGAGTGGAGAGCAGGAATGTTCTGTGGGAATTCTTAATTACTCAGAGGCTAATCTACACAGCTGCCATTTTCAAGTTCACAGGGTGCTCCTGGAACCTCACTGAACACTTCGAGGTAATGGTTGCAGAGGGAGGAAAAAAATGCACTTCTTGCTCAAAGATGAATACTAAAGTCTAGGCAAGTGACTTGGCAACCAAGGATACTCACAAGCTGGCACTCTTCCTCTGCCCTCTCTTGCTTGCACCATCTCTCTTGAGCCATGTGGCTGTCACTCAAAATGTACCTGATAGCTACAGTTAGAATGAGAGGATTAGACCTTCCTAAAATGTGAAGAGTGACAGAAACTAAGAGAAGCAAGAGTCACTTTCCTGGGATGCCTCCACAAAAGCCCTGAGTCCCAAGACACAGAGGCCCACTGTCTGGGAAAACCATTCTGTGTGCTGCCACCTTCCATGCAGCATGACACCTTCCAGGTTCCACAGGCTAATTGGAAGCACACACAGGGTACCCACTGCCTCTCAGGCTTTCTCAAGCCCCTCCCTGCCATGAGCCCCACACCCACCAAGACGATAAGACACTCCTGGCAGATGCCTGTGATGCTCCGTGGCAGAGTGAGGGGCTCTCGGGGCCCAGCCCTCCTCACCATACAATTGCTTTAAGGAACCAGACTCGCTCCCTCTCCTCCATCACGCCTGGATGGGAGGGAAGGCCAGTCACCTCAGGAATTGTGTTGGGGGCACCAAAAGAGGATTTGGATGAGCTGTAGCAAGTGTGGGAACCTTAAGCCTAAAAGGCTGAGCAAATGTCAATGGTGCCAGAGCACAGAGATGCTTCATATTTTTATTTTAAACAAATTTAATTCAGAAGCACTTTCAGTGAAGGAGGAGGCACCTGAGAAACCAAAGGCCTCGGGAGTTTCTAAAGGAGGGACTCATAGGAGAAAAGATGAAGAACAAGGCAGAGGAAGAACCTGGTAGTTGGCTGATGGAACTGCCTTTTCACCTTTAAAGATGGCTCCAGTATCTGCTTTTTTTGTTATTTGGTGCCATCGAGTTGATTCCAACTCATAGCAACCCTATAGGACAGAGTAGAACTGCCCCACAGGGTTTCCAAGGAGTGACCGGTGGAGTTGAACTGCTGACCTTTTGGTTAGCAGCAGAGCTCTTAACCACTATGCCAAAGATGCCTGCAATATCTAGACAACTATATCAATATTCTGGATTAAGCTTCAAAAATGACACACTCAGTGTCTTCGCAAAAGCCAGCCCAGGACTAATTTAATTGTCATGAAATCAAAACTAGGAAAACAAAACTTACTGGTTCTGGAAAATATGATTAGAAACACTTACATCATACAGATGCCTCAAAGCACTCTTATAATTTCCCCTTTGCAAAATCAGTTCAATACACTCTATCCTTGGTTCCATATGCTGTAAGGTGTTTGCATAAGGATGACACATCTCATAACTAAGCATGTTAATAATATACTTCTAACCTTTACTATTTTTTAAGAAGCCTTAAAATATCTTAAACATCAGCAGATATGCTTTCTGAGATCATACTGCTGATAGGATGGAACCTTATTAATCGGTTACTATTTGCTGAAAAACAAAATTTTACAAAGTCATTCTGGAAAGCAGTTCATCTGAAAGATCTCATCTGGATGTCTACTCCCACCTCTGCTAACGGAGGGAGCTGGCAGGAGAAGGCAGTGGCTGAGAGATGAACCAGAAAGGAAACTTGTTCTGGGGTCACAGAGCTCAGAAGTTAACAGAAAGAAGATATCTGCCTGGTGGCAGGCATGCCTTAACCACCTCCATTTCCTCTCTGACCAAAACCATCGTCTTTTCAATCACCCCATATGCACGCAAGAGCTGGACAATGAAAAAGGAAGACAGAAGAATTGATGCATTTGAATTATGGTGTTGGCGGAGAAAATGGACTCTATGGTGGACTGCCAGAAGCATGAACAAATCAGTGTTAAAAGAAATACAACCGGAATACTCCTCGGAAGGACAGCAAGACTTTGTCTTGCTTACCTTGGACACATCATCAGGAAATACCAATCTCTAGAAAAGGACATTGTGTTTGGTAGAGAATCAGTGAAAAGGTGGGAAAGCCTCAATGATACGGATTGACAAAACAGCCACAACAGCAGACTCAAATATACCAATGATCATGAAGATAGCACAAGGGCTGGTCAGTGTTTCTTTCTGTTATACATAAAGTTGCCATGAGTCAGAGAAGACCTGACAGCAGCTAACAATGGCAACAATTTTCTCTCTAAGACTGACACGTGTTGGGGTACTCAATTCTGAAGGGCAATTACGTGCACTACCTGATAAGAACTGCTGTGTATCAAAAAGCTTGCAGGTCTGATCTCTCTCCAGCTTGTTGGGCCGATCGCTGCACAGGGCCAGGGGCCCATCCCAGTAGATCCTGCTCTGGCAAAGTCTTTTGGCATACAGCCCATCAGGGGCCATCCAGAGGACCACGCCCCTTTCCAGGTGGCTCAGCAGTTTCTCTATGTTTTTCCTCTGGCCACTGTCCTCTGGATAGGGGAAAAGAACTTGGTCCAGGTTGCTGGCATCGTAGGTGTGCCCATGGGAGATCCTGCAGCCTTCAGGGCTTGAGGTGGTCAACTCTTTCACCAGGATTTCCCGGTAGTACAAGCAAATGTGGAGCCGGCAATCTATAAACAGAGAGCTTTCCAAGTTAGTACTAAGAGAAACAGAAGTATTTGATCCCCATTACAATGCCGACCAATGTTACCAAAGTGGACTTTGTAGAACACTAGTGTCCCACAATGCTCTGTGAAGAAATGAAAAGCTCCACGGCCAAACAGGAGCCCTGGTGGCACAGTGGTTAAGAGCTTGGCTACGAACCAAAAGGTCAGCAGTTCAAATTCACCAGCTGCTCCTTGGAAACCCTATGGGACGGTTCTGTTCTGTCCTATAGGGTTGTTATGAGTCCGAATCGACTCGGTGGCAACAGGTTTGGTTTTTGGTATGGCCAAATAAGCTTGGGAAATGCTGCATGCCTGCATATCTCTCTTGGAGATTCACAATGTTTGCATATTAAACATTTAGAGAAGTCCAACAATAAATAAATCTATTTAACTTTGTCTAACACAGTATTTTCCTAATTTATATGGCCACGGATTCTTTTTGGGGGGCATATCTTTCATTAAGTTTCTGCAAAATATGTTTAATTTGTATTAGACAGGAGCACTGAAGAGCTCACTTGGTCATTTAAGAACTTATTAAACTTTTTTATGATACTGATGACAACGTTAATGTCTAAAATTCTTTTTCAGTGCTAAGACATGTAGCACTGAAGAAGAATTCATCTTTAAGCATGGCAATCAATTTTAATTTTGGAGGAAATAAACTCTAAGTTTGGTTTCTGCTACCAAAAATAATATAATGGTGTTTTAGAAAAAACAAGTATGTCCATGCACCTGAAATTACCCTAAAGTATCAATATGATTATCATTTAGGAAAAAAAAAAAAAAGACATATGTAGGTGTACACAGTGAAATTCAGGAAGGATATATACTAAGGACTTAACAGTTGTGATCTCTGGTCATGAGAATGTGGTTTTTTATTTTTTCATTTTTGTTTTTCAGATTTTTAAATAAATTTTGTAATCTGCATATATACTACTTTATAATAAAACTAATTATTGTGAGAAGAAAGTAATCGATGTGAAAAATATTCTAAGAGCCAACAGTTTATGTAAAGTCTGTTGAAATCCCACTAAGCTTTTCGTTTAAGTTTGAAACTAACTCTGAAACTGGTGATTTCTAAAATTTTAAATGAGATTAATTCAGTTATAAAAATTTTACTTATTTAAAAAAATTCTTTAAAATATCATCCACCCTGAAAAGGCAAAGTTAGGTTTGCAAAGCGCTTCTCAACTGAACTGCAAATAGGCATCATGGGCATCTATCACTACCTATCCATAACTGTACGGGATTTGAAAGTGAATAGGAATTGCCAGTCTCTAATAAGTGTGCTCAAGGCAGACAGTTAATCTGCATTACAAATACCAAAAAAAAAAAAAAAAAAAAAAAGACCCACAAAATCCTCTTATTCCTCAATGGCAGTCTCATTGTCTCAATTCTCCACTTGGCTCAGCTGCTGTGAACATGCTCCCAAGGGCTCAGGTGGCTTTCACGGATGAGGAGTGGGTGTTGGCCATTCGAGGTGACTCTCAGGGTAGGTTTCATTTCATTTAATGTCACCAGAAATCACGAGGCCACAATGATATAAATAGCTATTTATTTCCTACTCTTTGGGCACCCACGCAAGTCCTAGGTGCTCAAGAAAAGGGTTTGAAAAGTTTCTAGAAACAAATACAAGCCTACTGCTCTGAAATGCGTCCTCCCCAATGACATTTTCAGTCATTCATGAATGGCAGAAAAAGGCAGTGTGCCTCAGTTAGGACTTTGGAATTGGAAAGAACTGAAGAGTACAACTCTGGCCCTTCTGTGAGCAAGCAAAGGGCTGACAACTCTCGTCTCCCTGAAACATTTAGTTTTATTTTACGTTTTTTGAGAATTCCAAGCTTAAACTACTCATTTTTAATACACAGCACAAATCCCATTTTAAAATAACCGAAAACATTGTCTAATATACTTAATACATCAAATATGCTTAATACGCCTTAAGGCACCTGCTTGGAAGGCAATCTGAAAAATAACTTCATTAAAATAGGTTCAGATCTCCGTGGTGCAGGAATTCTTGTAGAAATGGAACTTTCAAAATCAGATTGAATCCATATTTGTTTGCAAGACCTATCAAAGTTCAGGGGAAGACCACAAGCCTGTTACTGTTTGGCATAAGAGAAAGAGACAGAACTAATACCTCCAGGAAGCAGAGGAGGAAGCCTTGCTTGTGGATAAACCTAGAAGGATGATCAACTTTTAAAACAAGAGGATCTGTGCTTTACTAAGAAATTAAACTACATTGTGCGAGTGTTGGCTTAAGAGGGGTCCTTCTGGGCACGCAGTAGGTTGTCCCTAAATACTGAACTTTGATAAATGAAACTGCAGTGTTTGCATGTTCCTGGGAACTCACATCAATGCCAACAGAGATTTAAAGAGAGTCAACTCAAACTAGTGTTTGGAATTGCATCAGAATCACAGACTGGCTTCTGACTGGTTCGTGTTGTGACAGTGCTCCTTATTCACCGCTGTGGGGCGTCAGGACATGGACACACCTCCTCCAGGCCGACAGATAGGAAAGCAAGCACCCAATGCCTAGTGTCACTGTGCCCAGATACCCCTGAAGACCCCTGCAGGGCCAAGGATGCCTATTGCCCAGTGTCACTGTGCCCAAGGACATCCTGCCAGGCCTGCCTAAATATGCCTGTGGGGCAAAGGGCACAGGCAGCCTCCTGTGGGTGTGTGGTCCCGGGACGCGGCACTCACCTGAGAGCGCCAAGGCTTCGGCAGACCTTATGCTTGGCTCTATGGGGATTCCAGGGGCCTGGGACTCAGGTGGGGCACAAGCATAAAAGGTTCCTGTTACCTGGCAACCTGTATTTGCAAATAAAAATCAAACGATGTCTTAACAGAAAGCCTAAAACACGGGGAGGCTGCCTCACACTGCACTGATGTGCACACCTAATGTGGACAGACACCTGCATGTGCCCCATCCACCTATCCCATGGGCCCACCACACTCCGAGGACCATCAACTGCACAGCACATGTTTGTTAAGCAAGGGCAGGCTCCATTCCTGTCTGGAGAAACTAGGACTGAAGGCGGAGTGAGCTGTTTCACAGAATACTTGCTTTGGAAGGAAACTAGAGCTCTACTTCCTTCATTGGTAAACAAGGAAATCCAGGCTCAGAGGGATGACAAGACTTGCCCCTGTCCATGCAGTGGAGCTGCAAACTATTAAGCTGGATTAAAAAACGTACATTATTTAGTCCACATTTACTTTGCTTGCTGTCTGCGGGCTTAGGAGGAAGCTGGACCATATCTCTTGCTACCACAGTAACTGCTGTATAGTAAACCTTCAATAAATGTTTGTTGCATTAAACATTAATAGAGAAGGAATATGCAATAAAACCTAATTTTGCTGGCATTTCATTTAGCGTTAGCCATGCTTCAAAATATTTCTACCCATTTCATCTGTCTGGACAATTCTAAACTTTGCCTCTTTACAAAGGCTATTATAGCTCAGTTAGAGCCAGGTGTGCGATACAAGTCTGAATTTCAGGAATGAGTTTAATGTTAGCTAATTCCTTTACTAAGATACAGAAAATTAACCTTTGTTGCAAATCACTCTTGAAAAGCTAATAAAACTGAATTCTGAGTTTTGTGTAAATATACCACTCAATAAAAAATTAAATAATACCATAAGCCAAGAATGAACTAAACATTCTTCATTCAGAAAAAGGGGAGCTGATCAAATTGTTAAGGAGAAAATATTCCTAGAACATATAAAAGGGGCAACGTGCTGATATATTCAAGATTTCTACTTAAATACCTAACTCAAAAGTCCTAAAAGCTTGTGGTTCGCTGTATTAAACACTCCTTGTGAAATTTCTTTACACTTAGATAACTAGTGCTTCTGCTGAGAGATCTCACTTGATGTCTGGGGAAGTCCTTACAAGCATGAGATCACACCTAATCCAGAAGGAGCAAGTCTCTTTGGGACCCAACATTAGCACTAGGCACCCTATAGAGACTTCCTATGTTTTCTTCTGGTATTTATTCATTGCCTTCTTATCACCTCTGATACCAAGAACAACTACAATGGGCAGGCCATCTTTGTTCAAGAGAACCGTACTAGCTGTGTTATGCCCTTTTATAGATGAGAAAATGGAAACAAACTAGTGAGAGAATGTGGCCCTCAGTCGGCATCAAGGGACAATCCAGGAGGATAATGACCCAAAATCCACCACTTTTTACTCAAGATTAAAAATTGAATTTAAGATTATTTAGGTTGGATAAGAAATGGCAACCTATTAATCAGATAATTTAAAAAATATAAACAACTAGCTTGATGTCTCCTGTCTAAAATGGAAGGTTTGGCTTTGGGGTTAGGATAGCTGAAATTTAGGCCTGGCCCCAGCATCTTCAATGGGTAATTTTGGGCAAATTATTTAAATTCTGCAAGCTTTGGTCTTCTCCTCTTTTAAAAATGGGGTAACTTTTAGCTCCCTGGGACCATCTCTGTGATATTTACATAAGATCACACACAGGAAAGTACCCAGCATTGATCCCAGCACATCGTAGGTGCTCAGTGAACACTGGTTTCCTTCCTCTAAGGACCTTACCACCCCTTTGCTGCCATGTGATCCTTTCCCATCTGTCTCCGAGAAGAGAAACAAACCATGGTATGGCTGGAAAAACAGATCAGGAGAGACCACAGCCTCGTGGCCAGGTTCACTCTGCAGTGCCAGCGGCAGCTGAGGACTCCAGAAACTAGCCCCGGCAAGTTCCTTACCATTTTCACAAGTAGGGCCTTGCCAGTGATGGCTGCGGGGCCCGAACGTCACAGGACATTGGTAGGGGATTTCTGGGTGTGGCTGATCGGGGACATACTCCCTCCAGCTTCGGTCATGGGGCGGCATCATGTAGTTATGAACCTGTTAATGAAACATGAGGCAGGAGCTAAGGTGAAGAGCAACCTCCTCAGCAAATAACAATTTGTTGGCACTGGGAAAGGCGAGATTCTTCTATCTCCTTTCAAACTCCACAGAGGGTCTCTTATTTAAGCTGGCAGTCAAAAACCATTTTATCATCTGAGAAGACTTTAGAGTGAGTTGCTCATCATACTAGACAGAAAACTAGCCAGAGTATCAAAAAGCACAATTGAAACACTGTTGTAAAATAATGATTTACGTAAAGCTTCGTCATATGGTTAAATCTGGCACCAAAAATACTGCAGGAAAAACTGCCTCCTTTACCCACCAAAGTGAAGGAAACAGCTGTAATTCACATCAGAACAGTTCTGGAGAGATCAGCTGTCCCATGGTGTCACATGAATAAAACACTACTTCCAAAATTTTCAGCTTCCACAAAAGGTCTGTTTCCCAGAAGATTTTATAACCAGTAGAAAACTGTTTACCAACAGGCAGGCACACCCAGCTGTCCTTGAAACTTGAAACTATTTAGAGAATGAGATATTCGTTCAATACCAAGGATTGGTTTTGTCTGTTTTACTACATCATAGCAAAAACCAAGTGTCATTGGTGTGTGTGTTTGTTCGTTCCCACTGTGGGGCCTGCTGGCTGGCTTGCCCCCCACCCCAGAAGCACTGTGCCCTCTGCCATACCTGAGACGGCAGTGAAGGATAAGGACCTGCCATGGTGTACGGGTGGCTCATGGCCATCTGGGGGTCCTCCAGGGTGAGCTGCTTTGCTCCTGAGCGATTGAGAAGACGGAAACGGCACAGTATGAAAAAAAGAACTGACATAATTAAAAGTCAAATCTTGGAGAAATAAATACCTGAGAGTTTAATTCCTAGAATGCATAACACAGTGTTGACAAATGCAGCTTTAAGCAGTTACACCTCGGGCAAATATTTGTTCACGCCCTTAAACTGTTTCTCTGAGGTCTGACTTTGCAGGGTAGGTAGAGAGTGAAAGAAGCATGGTGTGTAGGTTCACTGTGTGACCTGCAGGACTCTATCCATGAATGGCTGCAGCAAGGATTTTCCATGAGGCCCATGGAGTGGCCTCAGAGCTATCTTTGTGGCTTGTTTAGAATGCAGATTCTTGGGCTTTGTTCCTGACGTAAACAGCGTCAGGATCTTGGAAAGAGGGGTCCAGGAATCAAAATTTTAATAAACCTTCAGTGATTACTTCACATTCTAAAATTTGACATTTTTATTACTATAAATAGTACATTCACCTTCTACACAATGGCTAATCACGAAAGACTGGTAGATAAGTAAAGCTTCCAAAGAATTTTCCATTTTTTGTTTGATAATTTGGCCCACACCTTAAGAGGACCAAGTGGAAAGTGCATGTGCATACACACACATGCATGTGTGCAGTGTGCACACACACACACACACACACACACACACACATGGGTGGAGAGACCCTGGAGTCTGAGAAATTATCCTATGTGAATACCACAAGAATGTTAACCTATGACCTAGAGAAAACGGGCAACACACCTGCAGGGCCTGAACATGAGGTCGGAGGCAGGAAGGCAAAAAAAAAAGAGAGAGAGAAGTGACCCCCAGAATGAAATTAAGGTTTCACGAGGGTCACACTGCATATATTCTGCGACAAAAATTCAACTTATTTAGGAAGCCCTACCTTTTTTGGCTCCCTCAGGAACAATCCTGTAGACTTTGTACGGATCTGAGATATCCAGTTGGCTCCTCTCAACCAATTCCTCAAAATCATTGCTTTTGTTCAAAGCACATCGCAAACGTGTCTTCCAGGTAGGAGGGTCTGGTTTATCAATGCCTTCTCGAAACTTTCCTTTAAATAGTGCCCAAGCCTGGCAGAAAAGAATAAAGAGAAAAAAATTAAAATACAGGTCTTTAAAAAAAGAATCTGGGAAATCTATTTTATAAAGTAAATAATGGTGCTTACATGCTTCAGATTTAAACTGTTTCTCAAAATTGGGAACAGAAAGACACCAGGTATCTTCTAGGTAAATGACATTTCACTTTGGACCCTATCATTGTTGAGTGAAGACTCAATGGTGGTTTGAACATTCTCTGGGCATGAAAAAAGTAGCTTTATAAAAAGTGGGGTGAGATGCTGAGAACCCCTGGAATGGGTTCAACCCACCTAACATGTGAAGTGGGTATGACTGGAACTACGGACAGAGATGTGAGGGCGTGCAGCTGCCCAAAGAGTCCTGCAGATGGTCAGAGGCTCTGAAGTATCTGAGAACAAATCCCCTGAGGAAGTCCCCTTCCCCTGCTCTGCCCACAGGCGGCTAGTCCCTAAAGCACAGTTCACTAGGCAAACTGCTCTGAGAGACACACAGAAAGAGTGCAGGGCCCAGAAAGCGATCCAGAGGAAGATACAGAGAGAGGCCCAAACAGACAGAGATACCCAGAGAAAATATTTCAGAGACTCTCAGAAAAAGAGAAAGTCAGACACACACACACAGAGAAGCAGAAACAGAAATGGAAGGACCGAAAGACAGCTAAAATTAGAGAGACCGAGCTAGAGGAGAAAAGGCAGAAAGAGAGAGAGCCAGAGAGAAAAACAGTGAAACAGAGACAAAGACACACATAGTGAAAGAGACAGAAAACAGACAGACTGGAGTACACCCACGCGTGCTCACAGAAGGAGAGACACACTGATCAATGCAAGCAGAGAGGGATCCCAAAAGGAGGAAAGACAAAGAGTCAGAGGGCCAGTGGAAACAGAGGAACCCAGACAGAAACCACCAACAACCCTCAGGCCAAGTCCCCTGACCTCCATTCTCCCGGAGCCGAGACCCCAAAGTTCAGAGCTTCTGGAGCGGCCTGACTCCCTGGGGACTGCTTGCTCCTCAAGCTCCGTTGGGAACCCGGCCCGCTGGTACAACTACCTGAGAGCTGAAGCCTCCTCTCCCTTTCCCATGACCTTGGTCATCTCTACCTGAGGCTCCCTGCAGGGCACCTCCATCCGCGGAACTCACCCACCCCGTCCGTCCGGCGTGGTCCCCGTCCCTCCGAGAACCGCCGCGGAGCAGAGTTGGGGACCAGCCGGTCTTTTCTCCACTTCCCTTCCGCCCCCCGGCGTGGGATCCGGCGCGCTGGTGACCTTGAAGAGCGCGGCGTCCTCCTCGCGGTTGTAGTCCTGCTTGCCCGCGTGCTTCCAGGGGATGCGGAAGATGCTTTTCTCCTCGTTCTCCCACACCAGCCCTGGGTACTTGCCGCTGTCGATCTGGTCGATCAGCCACTGGCGGAGTTTCCCGTTGCCACAGCTCACGGAACTCATGCCGAACTCGCCGCCCCGGCCGCTGCCCTCCAGGTTCATGCCCCGCCGCCGCCGGCTCCGCCGCGCTTTCGCTCGGGCTGCAGGGGAGAGAAACGACCAACTTCAGCCACCGCGCCCTCTAAAGCCGGCGGCCGACCGCCATGAGGTCTGGGCGTCCCCCGTGCCGCGAGGCGCGCAGCAGACCGGGCCTCATCCACCGACTTAAAGGAAAGTCCCTTCGCGGGTGGCCTCATTTCTCCGACGCGCACAATGCGGCTGCCCCGAACGCGCTCTCCCTCCGCGAAGTCACCCTCACCGCGACCTCCAGGCACCCTTGCCCTCTGGGGCCGCCCCTGAGCCTGGGCGCCCGCAGTATATAGAGCTGTCGCCTTGGCGCAGCCCGCAAAGGCAGGACGCCGCCACTTCAGCACTCTGACACCGGCACTCCGTCCGCACACGCACTTCTCCTTCCCACACCTCTTTGCCCTCTCTCAGGCCATTGTCGAGCCACTGTTCCCTCCTTCCCAGTCTCCCACTCCGCCCGCTCCCAGTTCCTTGGGGTCCCCGCGAGCGGAGAACTTTGCACGCGAGGCCTGCCTTGGACCCGCCTGCCCGCAGCCGGGCGTCCCGGGGCGCAGCACCTCGCTCCTCCTTCCTGGACTTCTCCTCCGCACCCTTTGCCCAAGAAGAGCCCTGGCGCTCGCCAGGTCGAGGGAATCCGGTGGGCCAGCGTGGGGGTTGCCGAGGGAGAGCCGGGCCGGCGAGGAGCGCTAAGGCGGGAGGACGCCGAGGAGGCGACGCCAGAGCTCGAGCTTGGGAGGAGGCGGCAGCAGGGCAAGGTGGCTCCCGGCGGCCTGAACGTGGAGCGCCCTTCCGCCAAGCCCGGGGACCACGCACCGGCGCTACGGCAATTTGGGCCCCTGAGAAGGAGACGCGGGGAAAAGGAACCTGGGGTCGGAGCCGAGGGCCCGAGGATCCTACCCCGGGAACACCTGCCGTGCCGTGTCGGTCAGTCGACCGCCCAGCCTCGGTTACTTCGGAGCTCCAAAGTCCCGTTAGCTGCATCTCCCCCTTAGCCCGGAGCGGGATCTCCCGGGCCAGGCGGCGCCCCACGTGCCGCGCGGAGTCCGGACGCTCCTCTGACCTGCTACAGACCGGGAGGGAGTCGGGGTCTTCAAAGGCTCCGGGCCCTCAAGGTCCCTGCTCTCTCAGCGGAATGGAGCTCCGGGGCGTCTCTGCTCCCGTTCCCGCGCCCGGCCGCTGCTGGACCAACCTCGCATCCCGCCCGGAGCCTGGGCCTTACCTCGCTCCCGGCTCGGAGCTGAGGGTGGCGTCTGGTCCCGACTTCAAGTGGTGAAACTGCGAGGCCGAGGTGAGAAAGAGGAACTTTATAGTGCTTGAAGGCCACGCTGGGGGCGGGACGGGGCGGGACGGCCCCGCCCCGGGGGGCGCTCCGAGGGGCTGGGCTCGGGAGGCGAGGGGAGGCGCCGCCACCCAACGCTGGGGGCACTCTGGCTGTCGCAGAGACTGACGGGGCCTAGGGCGCTGGCGAAGGCCAGTCGGCGGTGCCTTTTCTCGCGAAGGACAAGGCGCGAGGCGGGGAGCGCACCTCTGCCCAGGACCTGCCCGGAAGGCCCTTAAAACAACTAATCACAGCTACAACGGCGGCAGCAAAGTGACGAGGGCG